TAATTGCTAGAGATGTTGAACATTTTTTCATATATTTGTTGACTGATTGTATTTCTTCTTCTGTGAAATGTCTGTTCAGTTCTTTAGCCCATTTATTGATTGGGTTTTTTTTTTTCTTTACGTTTTTTGAGTTCTTTATATATGTTGGAGATTAATGCTGTCTCTCGGGTGCAGGTGGCAAAGATTTTCTCCTATTTTGTAGGCTCTTTCTTCATGTTCTTGATTATTTCCTTTGCTGTAAAGAAGATTGTTTGATGCAATCCCATTTGTTGGTTCTTGGTTTTTATGAGTCTTGTTGAGGAGTTTGGTTTCTAAGCTGACATGATGCAGAGGTGGGCCTCCTTTTCCTTCTAGTAGACACAGGATCTAGGTTCTTGACCCACTTTGAGTTGAGTTTTGTGCAGGGTGGGAGATACGGGTTTAATTTCACTTTATCACATAAGGATTTCCAGTCTTCCCAGCACCGTTTGTTGAAGAATCTATCTTTTCTCCAATGTATGTTTATGGCTCCTTTGTCTGTATGAGAGAACTGTATTTATGTGGGTTTGTCTCTGTGTCTTCTGATCTGTACCACTGGTCTTCAAGTCTGTTTTGGTGCCAATACCATGCTTTTTTGGTTACTATTTCTTTGTAGTAGAGCTTAAGGTCTAGTATTGTCATGCTTCCTTCACTTTTCTTGCTGAGGATTGCTTTGGCTATTCTGGGCTCTTATTTTTCCAAATGGATTTCACAACTGCTTTTTCTGTCTCCATGAAAGAATGTCATTGGGATTTTAATATAAATTGCATTAAATCTATATAGCACTTTTGGTAGTATGACCATTTTGACAATATTAATTCTGCCTATCCAAGAACATGGGAGATCTTTCCATCTTGTAAGGTCTTCTTCCGTTTCTTTAATTAGTGTTCTGTAGTTTTCACTGTAGAGGTCTTTCACCTCTTTTGTTAGATTGAGTCACAAATATTTATTTGGAGGGAGTGGCTATTGTGAATGGGATAGTTTCCCTAATTTCTCTTTCAGTAAGATTCATTACTGGTGTATAGGAATGCAATTGATTTATTTATGGGTGTTAATTTTATACCCTGCTACTTTGCTGAATTTATTTATGAATTCCAGAGGTTTTCTAGTGGAGTTTTTTGGGTCTTCTAAATATAGAATCATGTTGTCAGCGAATGTGATAGTTTGAGTTCTTTTTTTCCTATTTGTATCCCTTTAATTTCTTACTTCTGTCTAATTGCTTTGGCTAGAGTTTCCAGGACTGTGTTGAATGGAAGAGTGCATCCCTGTATTGTTCCAGTTTATAGAAGGAATTCAATGCATATTTTTCCCCTAGTTAGTTATTTAACAAAAGGACGCTAGGCAGTAAACATATTTTTGTTAGTATCTCATTTAGTTTAACAAGAAACTCCCCTGCTGTGTATCAGCCCGGAGACTGAGCATAGTTTGTGCATGCAGAGTACTCACTTTCCCGAAGATGAAGGTTGAGCCTCTGATTTTGTAGTAAAAATTCTACACTAGTGTTTCACTAAAATAATTTATACTGCAAAGATGTAAGCATTTTAATAACTGACCAAATAGGCAGATGTGAATAAATAAAATGAGTTCTGTTGATATTGTAAGGCCCTATTTTGTTTTGCAAAATAATGAATGTGAGCTTTGGGCACACATGGATGTGTGTGTGTGTGTGTGTGTGTGTGTGTGTGCACTTGGAATGATGACTGTGCTGGGTAGCATTAATGGACTGTGTATTTTTTTTAATATTTATTTTTCAGTTGTATTTGGACACAATACCTTTATTTTATTTATTTATTTTTACGTGGTGCTGAGGATCAAACCCAGGGCCTTACACATGCTAGGTGAGTGCTCTGCTGCTGAGCCACAACCCCAGCCCTCGTGTATTCTTTTCATGGACTGTTCTTAAGCCTGCTGCAGACAGGCAGGTGGAATAAAGCTCCTCCCCATATGGAAGGGAAGTGCTTTTACTTCTTCCGAAATGTTTTCTACCCTTCTCATGAAATCATTTTCTGCTGGGTTTCTCTAGATGGGGCCTCTTGAAAGATTTCAGGCACACACCACTGTGCCCAGCATAGGACCTATTTCATTTGTTTGAATTTTAGGTCTTTGATGTGGAGTTGTTATTTGCCTTTACCTTGAGATTCTCTCAGAACAACTAGAAAAACTCTACTAAGTTGTGTTGTCCCTGTGGTACCTGTGATGCATGAGGGTACTTAATTCTCTGAACTGCTTGGATGGACCTAAAATGCCATTCAAATAGATAGCTGGCTGAATACCTGCTTCCTGTGTCCCAGCTCCTACTTCCTGCTGCACAACTAAGAGTATGTTTATGAACTTTTTCTGACTTATCTAAAGATAATGTAGTAGACAAGAAATTTTACCTTTGCAATTTACCTTTGTAGAATTGTGGATGAGTGGTAATTATTGGATTGTGTTTGGCACCTCTTGGACAATTCTGCTCTGTCTGCATTGTCAGTGTTATTTGGAAATGCAGGGGACAATCATTAATGTAGCTTGTGGTTTCACCTTTGAACAAACCCAACAGGCATATCTGTAGTGTTGCCCTTGACACTCAGCATACCCTTGTTGATTAAATAAGGAGGCACAGATTGTGTTTGTGGCTCTGGGCTAGATGGATGGTGTTCCAACTCTGCTCTCCAAACCCCTTCACAGCTCACCTGTCTTGTACTTCACTGAGACAAGTTATAGGGTCAAAAAGTATTGGGCGTCAATACTGGAAAACACCTGGGGTGGTCTGTCTGCCTGAGGCAGGGTGACGGGAGAGACCTGACATGGTGCTCTGCCTGGGGATGAAGTGGCTAGATTGGATGAGGAGAGCTTGGTTCAATCCAGGCATCAAACCAAACACACTTTGCCCTATCAGTTGGTTCCGTCTTCCGGGAATAGCGCCTGCAAAGTGTGGAGAATTTGTTCGGGAGCTGGCGTTATTTTATTTTCTGTCATGTATACCTCTGTATACCCTCGGACAGCAAAGGAGTGCTTCATTTCATGGATGCTTTAGAACCATTTTAAGAGTATTTTCTTTTAAATGAGTGTTCATCCTACAATTAAACATAGAACATTGAATTTTGACACATCCCCTGTCTCCTTCCCACCCTGTCAATTATTCCCCACCCACTCTTTCCCAACTTACCTTTTCATCGGGCTTTGATTTTCTTCTCATTTTTTTCATCTATCAAACTGCCTAGTGCTGGCAGCATATAACCCTGCAGAGCCACAGGTAAGAAGAACCTGTGGAAATGTGTGGCCTGTGGAAAGTAGGTCATCAGTCGCACGCTGTGTGAACATCTGGGTGCAGAGAAGCTGCGCCAGGTGACAGGACTGCTGCGTAACATCTCTGAGTACAGGTGATGCTGAGGGAGTGGACATGTGGRTTCTGTTCTTCTCTTCCAGTGTCGAAACTCCCCTAGTGACCTCTTATGTTCCTTGTGGTTGGTGCTCAACCTTTGCACTCACAATTCCTCCAAAAAAAAGTGAAGTGTTGATTGTACCCTCTGCCCTCCCCTTCTAGATTAGCTCTTACTTGAGTTTTGGAGAAAGATAGCCACTTCTTTGGAGTCCAGAGAGGGGAATGCTGGAGGAAGTATTCCTTTAGTCACTTGTTCCGTGGGTCTGTCGATCCGGCCATTTCTCTGAACACTAAAAAGTATTCTTTTGCCTCTTTGGATTTTCTCAGTTCCTGCTTACTGATTTTATGTAGCTAGAGGCCTGAAATGCAGACCACTCTTGCATTCAGTTTCCCCTATGTATCCTGTATCCTTGTTATGGCATCCCTTGTGTCTTTCCAAGCCTGTCACTAGAGTGGATAAAATACTTATTACTATTCTTCTAGGCAGATTTTTTTTTTTTAAATGAACAAACTGAACCTTTTTTTTTTTTTAACCAGAGATTGAACCCAGGGGTACTTAACTACTGAGCCATATCCACAGCCCTTTTTATTTTTTATTTCGAGACAAGGTCTCGCTAAGATGCTGAAGCTGGTTTTGAACTTGTGATCCTCTTGCTCCAGCTTTGCAAGCTACTGGGATTATAGGTGTGCACTACCATCCCCATCTAAGATATATTTACATGTGTATATGGGTTTTTGTTTTTGCTTTGGTACCAAGGATTGAACTCGGGCACTGAATCACTGAGCCACATCCCCATCCATATTTTATTTAGAGACAGGGTGTCTCACTGAGTTGCTTAGTGCCTCACTTTTGTTGAGGCTGGCTTTGAACCCTTGATACTCCTGCTTCAGCCTCCTGAGCTGCTGGGATTACAGGCATGCGCCACCGTACCCAGCAATATTTTTAAACTGAGAGTTGAGATTGAACACTCTTACCACTGAGCTATTACTCGGCCCTTTTAAAAATGTATTTTGAGGAAGTCTCCCTACATTGCTGCAGATGGCATGGAATGTTTGATTTTCTCACCTTAGTCTCCCGATTAGCTGGAATTACAGGCATGTGCCATCACATGCAGCTTTTATTTTTTTAGACAAGGTTTAAATTCACAGCAGAATTAAAAGGTACAGAAAGTTCCCATATTCTCCTTGCCTTGGCACATACAGAGCCTCATTATCAACACCTCTCATCAAAGTGGTTACATTTGCTCCACTTGTAATTCTTTTTGATCATCCTTCAGAGGGGCTTGCTGAGTGGAGGAGGGCTACTAACTTACCACTGAAAATTTTGCATAGAGCTATCTCTTATCTCCATTTGCTCTTGTTTTAAAATGAGTTAGGGGAAAATCAGAACACAGATTAGCTAACAGGCAAACTCCTAACTATGATTTTCTGTGAAAAAATTCAAAAGAGGAATGACCAGGTAAGTTTTCTTAGAAAAACAGTATCTTTTATAATTTTATTCGTTTGGTTGATTGGTTTTTGGTTTTTTGCAATGTTGGAGATAGAACCCCTACCATTGAGCTATACTACCATCCCCTAAATTTTGTTTGTGATGTCAGTCTTATTTTTCTTCCAGTTGCTCTCGGTCGTAACCAGCCTTTGAAAAAGGAGAAACCAAAATGGAAAAGCGATTATCCTATGACAGATGGACAGCTGCGCAGCAAGAGGGACGAATTTTGGGACACTGCACCAGCTTTTGAAGGCCGGAAAGAGATTTGGGATGCCTTGAAGGCTGCTGCACACGCTTTTGAGAGCAATGATCATGAACTGGCACAAGCAATCATTGATGGTGCAAACATAACCTTACCACACGGTAGGCCTGGTGCTCCTCAAGGACAGAGGGGACGGAATCAGCTCATTCCTAGTAGGGGGAGACTGAGTGAGAGGAAGCTTTTTTTCTTTGCTATGCCTTATTCTAACTTTTTTTTTAATATTTATTTTTTTAGTTTTCAGCGGACACAACGTCTTTGTTTGTATGTGGTGCTAAGGATCGAACCCAGGCTGCATGCATGCCAAGCGAGCGCACTACCGCTTAAGACACATCCCCAGCCTCCTTTTTTCTTTTCCTTTCTTTCTTTCTTTTTAATTTAATATAGCACAGAATAGCATTCCTCTTCGCATCTTTCTGCTGGAGACTGTTTATTTTGTATATTTTTGTGTCATTTGAATATTTTCCTTATCTCAGAAAAGAACACCTGATAATAAAATTTTCTTGTTTCTGTGCGACCTAGTTTTCTAGACCCCTGCTTTCCGCACCCTGCCATCGCCATCTTTCAGCCCACCTGTAGGAGCCTCTGCTTTACTGCTTTCCTTTGGACATGGTAGAGTCTCAAGTCAGATTTCAGAAGATGGAGAGACTCAACAGATACCCCTGTAGTCATCGTACTTTATCCTTAACCCCTACTTTTAGCATAATGGCAGATTTAAACTTTGAATTCAGTCCCACGTTTTCTTACAGATTTTCTATGATTGTAACCTTGAGCATTATTAGAAACTTCCCTCTTCTGTATTGGAATGTGACTCTTAAGTACAGCTTTGAGTGTTTCCGGGGAAGTGTACATGCTAGACCCATACATATACTCTTGTTTGGTCTCCTTGATTAGAATGCATTAAAAAGTTTGATGCTGTCTTGAGATTTGGATGTCAGTTTTGTATTCCTTGTGTTTTGATTTCAATATTAGTACTTTTTTCTCTCTAGTTTTTCAAGTTAACATTTTTCTTAGTTGTCTCTTGAAACCCACATAGTAGATTATCAACTTGTCTCATTTTTTTGCTTATTATTACACCTTTATAGTGTTTGCGGCATGTGTCTGCATTCTTAGAGGAACAATGCTTTTCATTACTTAATTATCTACTTTAAATCCTCTGACTGTGTGTCAAATAAATGGTGTTTAACTTACTGTCCTTGCCAGCTTTCCAAGTCTCCATTAATTTTCTAATTAATTGTGCTTCCAGGAAACTTCCTTTCTTATAGCTGACTTTATTATGAAAGCATGGCTTATGTTCCTAATACTTACTGTAAACGTGATCCTTCCTTATTTTTGAAGAATTTATAATAGAATGCCATTTAAGTCTGACTCTTCAGTTCTACTTTTCATGGATAGTCTATAAATCTTTTGGAAGACGGGGAGGGGAGAGTAACAGGGACTGAACTCAGGGGCACTCGACCACTGAGCCCCATCCCCAGCCTTATTTTGTATTTTATTTAGAGACAGGGTCTCACTGAGTTGCTTAGTGCCTCACTTTTGCTGAGGCTGGCTTTGAACTTGCAGTCCTCCTGCCATAGCCTCCCGAGCTGCTTGGATTACAGGCTTGCGCCACCGCGCCCGGGTAGTCTGTAAATCTTTATTCTGTGATTGGGGATTGGGAAGTGGTAGACATCATCTGGCTCCACTTGCCTTTTTTAGTTCTGTCATTATTGTCTTCAGTTGCTCCCCTTATATAATGTAAAGGACCCACCTGTACAGACGGTTGCATCATCATTCTCTTTTGGATGGTGACATCTGTATTTTCAAGGCAGAGCACATGTTTGTGTAGGCCTGCAAGTTGGGGGAAGAAGAGTCACATGTATGAGACTGTCTTAATTTAGAAGTCTGAGATTCAGTACCTTGGAGCTTGGAATACATGACTTTATGTTTATGTTATATGTAGGGATCTCTGGTTGTGCTATGTTTTATGGCCTCTTTAAAGGTTCCTGATAGCAAAGTAGCTCTGTTTCCTATGCATAATAGGTCCTATGTATATCCTTTTGGATGGGGGCTCTGATAGTTAGACTCAAGCCCCTGGTTTTGCCTTATCTATGTGAACTGCCAAGAAAGATAATGTTGCTGGCAGCCTAGCCAACCCACAGAGAAGGGAGAAGTATTCTTGGAAATTTAGGAGTATTGGATGAACCTCTACTCCCTCTCTTCTGCTTAGAATATTTTCTGTGTAAACATGAAAGAATCAAGCTGATTTTATCTTGATTAAATTCCCATGTGCATCTCTTCAGCTTATCAATAATGTTTCTTTTAATTATGTTCTTGATCCTAAAGTCTTCAGCTTACCATCAGTACATAAATGAGCATTATATGCTTCTACCTGTACCTGCTCAGAGGCATTGCTGAGATTCTTTCCTGTGTAATTACACATTTAAAATTTTACTCTAGGCATCTTGTTGTTACCCCTTTGGGTCCCCAGATACTTCATATTTTAAGTGATTGCACAGATTTGATTACTGTCCAGCTTGAGTTTTGATATCATATCTGATGATATCACTTCTGCCCTGTACTCAATTCAAGCTGTGTAACTTTGGAAAAATTACTTTTTTTTTTTTAAGATAGATAGATAGATGCATACATACACGTATACTTGTGTGTATGTACATTTTTTTTTTTTTAGTTCTAATTGGACACAATACCTTCATTTTATTTATTTTTATATGGTGCTGAGGATCGAACGCAGCACCTTGCTTGTGCTAAGCAGATCTCTACCACTGAGCCACAACCTCAGCCCCCTGGACAAATTACTTCTTTTCTGCATGCTGTAGTTCTCTTATTTGTAATAGATGGAAAGTAGCTATCTGCTTCATGGGGTGGTGGTGTTGGTTCATTGTGATGGTGATACCTGTAAATCACCCTAGTGCTGGGTTTCCAGGAAGCACTTCATAGTGAAGTAGTGGCACTTGTCTATACTTCCAGCTACTTGGAGACTTGCAAGTTCAAGGGCAGCCTAGAGAACTTAGAAAGTCCCCGCCTCAAAGTAAAAAGGGCTAAGGATGTGACTTAGAGGTGGAGCACTTGCCTAGTGTATGTAAAGCCCTGGGTTCAATCTCCAGTACTGCTCCCCACACCACCCCCCCCAAAATATATATATATTTATATTTTATATTTATATATATAATATTAATATACAACAGCATTAATGATTTTATAAAAAGTATTTTGTTTTTTAGTTGTAGTTGGACACAATACCTTTATTTTTATGCAGTGCTGTGGATGGAACCCAGTGCCCTGCATATGCTAAGCAAGTGCTCTATCTCTGAGCCCCAGCCCTAATGACTTTTATTTCCTGAATTCTGATGTTATCGAATAAATTCCCTGCACCAATTTTTTTTTTTTTTTTAAATACCGGGGATTGAACCCAGAGGTACTTGACCACTGGAGCCACATCCTCAGACCCTTTTTGAATTTATTTAGAGACAAGGTCTCACTGAGTTGCTTAGGGCCTCACTAAATTGCTGAGGCTGGCTTTGAACTTGTGATCCTCCTGCCTCAGCCTCCCAAGCCACTGGGATTATAGGAATGCACCACTGCCACTGCACTAGCACTACATCAAAATCTGATTTGGGGTTCTTTTTTTCTTTTCTTTTCTTTTTTTTTTTTTTTTTTTGGACTGCATTGTCTACTTGTAATATCTTTCTTTGACTTTTGGGGCAGTCTGCCCTTGGGAATATCTCTAATAGAATTTTGAGACTGGGTTGATTCAGTAGCAAAAGTACTAATAGATTTATTAACTGGACAGCAAAGCAGTGAGGACTTGGGTTCACCTCGCCCCGTACCTGGCTCATCCCTATCCTGCTTCTCTCAGTGCCACCCATAGGGATCATGTTGAACAGATTGTAGATTTACCGTCTGTAAAGATCCTGGGTCACACTGTGCTTTCTAAACTTCCTTCAATCAAATGTCTCTCCCTCTCGTTTTCTTATCCCCTTTTTCTTCCCGTGGTCTTTCTGTTGTCTCAATTTATTCATACTGTTATCTTCCCAACAGAAATAACAAGTTCTTGAAAATACATGAAAGTGTGTTGGTAAATGTTGTGTGTCTTGTTATGTTGTATGGCAATGACTGTGCTTTCTCTTGGTTTAGCCACTTTAGAATAGATCAGTGTTGTATACACAAACATTATGTATTTGTTGATGGCCTTTTTTTCCTTGACTTTTCTGAGTTATTTTTCAAGGAAGCCAAAAAAATTTTTCTTGAATCATATTTCCTTTTCCTTTTTTCCCCCTTTTTTCCTTCCTTTAAAGTGGTTCCATTGGTAATTATATCCATGTCTCAATTCTAGTCAACAGGTCATGTTCATCATATTCCTGCCTTGTCTAAGAACGAATAATTTTATACTTTTAAAGTATCTTCCTCTGTTAATATCAGTGGTAAATTTTGCTGAGTGTTGTAGCACATACCTGTAATCCTAGGGGCTCGGGAGGCTAAGACAGAAGGATTGCAAGTTCAAAGCCAGCCTCAGCAATGCGAGGCACTGAGAAAATCAGTGAGAAGCCTGTCTGTAAATAAAATCCAAAATAGGGTTGGGGATGTGGCTCAGTGATTAAGTGCCCCTGAGTTCAATCCCCAGTACCAAATAAAGAAAAATATCAATGGTATATTTATTTATTCTCGAATGACAGTGGGAAGGGTTGAAAGAACTTGGTATCATAACTACCTGGGGATTTCATACACTCACATCTATGCACTTTGGAAAATCATGACTTGATGGAGGCTGGTATAGACCTGGGTATCGTGGGAGAAGGCTCCGCATGTGATTCTGATACCTGCTTTCCATTGTCCACCACCTCCTTGTCTTAGAAGAGCTTTGTTTTTAATAATTTGCACAGCATATTTTTCTGATTATTCAACATTTCTTAAAGAGTTTATTTCTCCTTTTTCATTGATTGCTATTTTTCCATTACCTGGAAGTCTTAAAAACATTATTATTATTATTATTATTTTGGTACTGGGGATTGAACTCAGAATGGCACTCAACCACTGAGCCACATCCTCAGTTCTATTTTATATTTAATTTAGAGACAGGGTCTCAGTGAGTTGCTGAGCACCT